GTGCCACAGCTACATCAGGCAAGTGGAGTGTAATAAATAGCACTTCCCAGTTAAACTCCACAGCATTTTCCCACTGGTCTTAAAATCTGAGCTCCTCACTGAGGCCTGCAAGTCCTGACGTGTGTGATTCTTCTCTAGCCCCATCTCCAACCAACTTCCCTTCCCTCTACCTCTTCTAAGAAGCTCTCCCATAGTTTTTCCATGGAGATCCCTACTCATACTACCCCACTGCCTTCATAACACTGATCACAATCCACATACACTACTTATATGCTTATTTATCAGCACATCCCAGGAACACATGGACCTTGTCTGTTTTCTTTCCCCTGTGTGCCCTCAACACCATGTCCAGCATAGTCCATTTCAATAAATATTCGTTCAATGAAAATTATGTACACTAAAGCCTTTGTTAAAGTCTACTCATTACAAAACAAATACATGTTTTCTAGATAATATTCTACAACAAAATTATGTTTTGAGTTTTTCTCACAGTTAAGAGATCACCACTTGGTGTGAGATACTGCAGGCAACTCTGAAGGGGGCTGGTAAACACTTGGGGCTCTGGAATGCTGCACCATAGGTTTTTCCAAATTCTGTTTTTTGTTTTGTTTTAAATTGCAAGACTGGTTCTAGAAATCCCAGAACTGTTATCCATAGAATGATAAATATTGTCTAGAAATGCTCTCAGAATAATCTAGAGGGTCACACATTTCTTTAAGATTAAGCAACTCAGAATCCAGCGAAGTTGCAAGACTTGCCAGGCCAAATGTCCCAGTGTCCTGGTGAGGCCTTGAGCTCACCAATGTGCTGACCCTGCAGTCATTGTTTTACCAAATGCTGCTTTTCTCTTTGGAGTAGACCCCAATTCTTTGGTCTCCCCAAATGCTGTTAAGTATGCACCAAGAGCTGGTAAGCAGGGTTCAGATTTGGGAAGCTTGCATATGGCCGTGTTTTCTATCCTCCTGGGCTGGTAGGAAGTGCCACACAGGAGAAGCAGAATACTTCTCTCCAAAAGCTGGGATTCCAGAGCTTCTGTTTGTTAGGGTTAAGAAGGTTCAATTAGGGATTAATAAGGATAAAGCACACTTTTCCAAACTGGTCCATTTGGGGTGAATTCCTACACCCAAATCCACTCTCTTGAGATCTTCCATATCCATCAATGTAAATAAGAACTTACAAGCCAGGTCCAGTAAAACCCTACTAGAGAATAAGCTGGACATTCAGTTGCATTAAGACAGATCCAGGGGTTGAATGGGCAGTAGCTGAAACCTGGATGCTCCTGCCTTTTATATAAAAACCTCTAACTACCAATAGCCACCCTTCTTAAGCAGGGAAACACACAATTAGGCTTGGACTTACCTTTCACAGCTTTCCTAGATCCATGCACAATAGAACCAGCAATCAAGATGCAAGCATGGCTGAATAGAGTGTGTTCAGGAAGAGAGAGAGTAAGGGAGGTGGAGAAAACAACCAGCAAGTGTATCTTTGCCAGCCAAGTTCACTGAGTGATCCAGAGAAGTAAAGTAATTTGTCCAAGGTCACACAACAAGTTAACTTTGGTCTGAGACTAAAACTCAAGGTTCTATCACAATACAAAATCGACACCATATTGACATAATGTTATACACAAGTTCCAGTTACATTGAATATCTTTGTCTAAATCCACATTCACTTTGGAATGCTATTCTTTTAGCCTGTATTTGGAAACTTATTCATATAAAGTTCTTCAAAGGAATAAAGCCCTCTATTCCAACCAAATTACAAAAGGGCACAGTTAAGTTGTAACACCATTCAGTCAGACACCTCATCTGAGCTCACTTCTCGTTGTAACAGCTTCTTCCAGAATGCCTTCTATAAAGACTTACAGTGGACAATACAGTTGTCAGGACAAGTTCCTACCTGGGTGCTCACAGCTCAGACTTGCAGCAATACAGACACAGAGCTGCCTCCAATTACTCTTTCAACTGAGAAATGAATAAAAGCATATCATTTCAGTGCTGATCACGGAACTCTTGAAGAAAGTTTCTAATGAGAAGTGACATAGTAGACCTTTAGCAGCTTCACATATACAAACTTGGTAAGAAAATTGATTAGTAAAGACTGGAAAGGAAGTTGGTTGACCTGCTCAGGTCCAAACTCCATCACCAATTCCCATGGCTTCCAGTATTCTTCCACACCCCTTACCTGTGCTGAGGCCTATATGGCACCTATGAGGCAATTTGTTTACTGGTCCAATAGCTCTGCATTCAGTAACAGCAAACCATGATCTTTTTTTTATATATATATATATTTTATTGATTTTTCACAGAGAGGAAGGGAGAGAGATAGAGAGTTAGAAACATCGACGAGAGAGAAACATCGATCAGCTGCCTCCTGCACATCCACCACCAGGGATGTGCCCGCAACCCAGGTACATGCCCTTGACTGGAATCGAACCCGGGACCTCTCAGTCCGCAGGCTGACGCTCTATCCACTGAGCCAAACCGGTTTCGGCGCAAACCATGATCTTAATGAAGACCTGTGTAGAGCTTTGCTTGAAATCCATATAGCTTAAAATATAAACCCCAAATTAGTTAAGCATCCTTTTCTCATCTCATCCAAGGGCATGTTTTCCATTTCCTCCTCCCTTTCAGTAAGGGGGAGAGGGAGGGGAAGGGGGGGAACTCTCGGACTGGCCTTTCAGATGCTCCACATTTCTAAGATCCACTGAAAGTAAGTTTTGAGACACTACGATGAGGGAGATAAAGTTATTAAAGATAAAATAAGCCATTGATATAAATGGGAGGTGCTCTAATAGGTCTCTCTTGTGCAACCGTCTCAACTGCTGGAGATTTCTAAGAGGTCTTAATGCTTCTTTGAGTTACCCAAGATTTATAGGACTAAGAACACTTCTCGACTACAGTTGCAAAGAACTGGTTTACTCAGCATCCATAAAACCTTATAAATTTTATATCAATATTTAAAAAATGCAGCAGGAAGGCAGTCATTATTTGTTCTTTGCATTTATTTATTTAACACTTAATAAATACCTACAATGAACCAGGAATGAAACTTTGTTTTAAAAATTCAAAACTGTAAAATATGGCCCCAAAGTGTGAGATTACAAAAAACAGCCAGAAAGGACACATATGTAATACCCTTTGTAATAAAAAAATAAAAAAAGAGAGAGAGAGAGAGAGAAAAAAAAAAAACAGCCAGAAAGGATTGAAATCACCCACTCCCAAAATTCTGCTTTGCAGCTTAGCTGAGAATCAAAATCCCCAGAACCAAGGGAAACCCCAAGATGGAGAAGCTCCTGCCAATGCCCAAGGAAGAAGCTCATGAGTCCAGCCCAGGACAGAGCAGATGATAGCCCAGGCTCTGACCTCATGCAGTAAGGCATGGGAGCACATCTTGATCTTGGTAGGATCTCCCAGCTTGCCCTCCAATTTGGTTTTGAATCCCTGACTTCTTTCTCTTTTCTCTTTTTAAGAATAAAGTAAAATAAATCAAAAATACTCATTGGAATATATACTTATTCTCCCAGTGACTTTGTTGTTTAAGTCAAGTCTAAATTAAACAAATTGTGTGGTTTTCTTCATCCTTCATTAGTGATGAAAACTGTGCATTCAAAAGTACATTAAGACAATGTATTCCTAAAGAGTAATGCAGCTTTAATTATAGTGCATTGAATCACCTTGCAAACAAACCATTCACTACCAGTACTGTACTTGTACTGTTGTAGGGTTTTGTTTTTTTGTATTTTGTTGTTTTTTTTGGCAAACTTAGAACAAACCAGAAAACAAAATGTTGTCTTCATCATGTAGAAAAATAAAACAAACCTAAAGTATTTAGCTATGTGTCAAGTGATTCATACTGCAAAGTAAAATCTACACTTACAGCAGAGCTTAAAAATTCTTAGTGCAAGAAACATAACCAATTAATACAGATCAATACTTATTAATGATATGGAAAATTTTCCTATACAGAGGTAGAGTCCAGTGCACAAGGCTAAAACAATATTCAATCATCTAAACAAAGAGTGAGCCAGGTTTTACGGGATTCACTTTAAATTTTAAGTTATCAGACTGTATGTACATACAATATATAGACTATACAATTTTTAAAGTAGTTTAATAAACTCCACAAAATAATAGTAGATGCATTGAAATATTTACATAATTCAATTTTCAAATCTCATTCAAATAAAAGGGATAAAAATAAGATTTCTGCTTTAAAGGCAGCAGAACCTCTTTCTTGAATGGATTGGTAAAATAAGATACTTTACATGAGAGGAACTAATTTATGCTTGAGAGGTATTCATATTCAGCTAAGAAAATATGTCCCTTTTTAAGCTCTATAGAATAGGGAATATAAAATGATTATTTTCTCTATTTTTAGATCTCTAAAGTTCTAAATCAGACTCTTACTTGAAGAGAGAAGCTGATTTTGGACCCATACAAAGTATATCAATAAAATTACAATGGAAAAATAATTAACTTTTCCTTTTCTGCTTCCTTGCTTTTGAAAGTTAGGTCAGAAAGAACTTGACAATATCTCTAGCCCGGTTATATTTACCCATGACACAAATTTCATTGAAACCTGACTAGTACTTTCAGCTTGGTATTATTGGGATTTCAACTTTCTGAATTCCTTTAATTTCCAAAGGGTATTCAAGACTAATAAGATTCCAAAGTTTTCCAAGCTCACATAAAAGGAAGGTGAAACAGAGTATCTGCTGTCATTCACCTCAGAGACTTGAGAAAGGAAAAAAGTTAGACCCTCTTGTCATTGTGACACAAGAAAATATGCAAAAACCCAAAGCATTATATGCTTCATTGACTCAGATTCTTAGACTTAATACCAAATTTACTCTTTGATATTTGATCAACCCTTTTGATATAAAAGATTCTTTTCTAAAGAAATAGTCAGAAAACAAAAAAGTATGTCATAATGAAGCATAAACCTTCACAGTTTGAATTTTGTGTAACTTCTCTAAGCACCCACAATGAAAATGCAAGTGTTGTGTTTTTTTTTATTCAATCATTCTGTGAAAAATATCTCAGCAAATAGTAACATTTTGCCCTCCAATAATCTCCCCACTGGACTACCCACCCCACCCCCATTTTTTAATTTTAAATTTTTAAAAAAATTTATACAAATAGACTAACTTTGATTTAAAATAAACATATAAAAATTGATAAGAATATTGCTTGCAACAATGGATGCAGAAGTAGAGGAACAAACTGGGCAGGGAGTACAAAGAAATGGCTCCTACTCAATAACTTCAGGCAAACACCAAGCAATCTGGAAAAAAATCTCAACCAAGGACAGCTTCTACTGCACATTGTTTCCTTGGCCCATGAGGTGTGACTGATTTATACCTACAACTTCAGGTCAGATAAAAAGAACAACTGCATGAAAATTGGAAGGCACAAGCACCCATGTTTATCTAGAATTTTTTTTTTGGGGGGGAGGTTCGGAATAAAGAAGGAAAGGGATACTTTTGGTTCAGCACTATTGTCAAGTTAATTTTGCCATTGTTGAAGAAAAAGTGTATAAAATAAAGTCGTAGAGAAATGTAACAAGTGCATTCCACTTGTGAGGAAGAAAGCTCAGGAGACAGCTCACAGGAATAGCGCAGAGAGAAACAACCAGTACTATTTATTTGGATGTCTGTGCCATGGTACAAACTATATTCTCTGCTCTGTGGGGCCAAAACCAAAACAGAATAAAAACCAACAAAAATCCCCCAAATCCCCAAATAGCAGTTAGAAGGGATGCAAGAAGTCTTAAAGAACAGACTGATCCAGACAGAGGTGATAAAGGCAGCACTCTTGTCTTTAATGAACATCTAACTGTGTTAACTACTGTTGTTTTCGGTCATATTCACCTACTGACCAGATGGGGGACTTAAGAAATGGCCATGTCATTAGCTATTTTTCCTGCTTCTACACAACTTTCCTTTCCCTTTACTTCCTCCTCCAGGATTCGAGTCTTTATCTTCCAAGAAGGAAGTGCTGTTAATGATGACAGGGCAAGGTGTGAAACAGGATTTCCAGAATACTGATTTTGCTTCCCTCAAAGCCTTGCTGCATGTGGGCCACACAGCTCAAAGGCAGCCATTGAAGCAGCCTGATGGAGTTATGACTTTAACAAAACCAAAAAAGGGAAACAAAAACAAAACCATCCCAAGTCTGTCTTTTCTCAAACTAAAGGAGAAACTGAGGGATGGTACAGCCTCCAGTGGGGATGCCCAGTTAGGAGATGATGGCCGGGGACCACCTAGGCAGAGTCAGATTGTCAGCACTCGCTGACCGCTTCCTCGTGGGTCTCCTCAGGTCCTTGTACTTGTCCTCACAGAGGCGAGAGATGGCCTGAGGGGCAGAAGAGAGACAATTCAGGTCAGGGCTGGTCCCTGGAAGTTCCCTCCATGCACTCACTCACCAGACACCAAGCACTGCTTGAGCAGCATCCTTCTAGGCACTGAGGACACTCATGAACAAAAAACAGGAAGAGGCCCTGCCCACGTGGTTCACATCCCACTGCAAAGAACTGTGTCACAGGGCAGGATACGAAGAAAGTGTAGACACAGACCCTGTTTCCAAAGTGCTTACAGTAGCCTAGGGTCAGCCAGATCCAAGTCCAATGCTGGTTCCCCACTCAGGGGTGTGTGAGCTGGGTATGTGCCCCCATTTAAGTCCTTAGCATCCTTGTCTGCAAGTGGGGTCATCACAGCGCCCTCCTCACAGGGTGGCTATGAAGCACTGGAGCTCCATGCTGGATGTGTGCATGAGGAGCGCAGTAGTTGGCCATGATCATTAATCAGAGACTAAGTCAGAGCAGAAGGGAGTCATCTCTGGACCACTGCTGCAGAAGGGAACCAGAGGGGGCACAGAAACATGGGATGCAAAGATAGTCAACATTGGCTTCATTTTGTTGATGAGGGCAGTGGGACTCTAGGCAGAGGGCTGCAGCTAAAAGTAGGGCCAGGCCTGCATTGGGGCTGAAGTATAGTCATAGCTCTCAAAAGGGTTCATACCATCCCAGGGAGCTTGTTTAAGACACATTCACCAGCCATCTGTATGATGATGCAGTGATGAGGGTGACATTACTAAGCAAAGAAGTTTTTTAACTTCTACAATTCCAGAGCAAGGCTGGGGACTGTGCCAGGGCTAGGAGAACAGACACAGTGTTCATCCACCAGGAAGTCACAGTCAAGGGAAAAGCACAAAAGCAGCCACCCACTTCTCACCCTGTGCCCTGATCAGATCCCACTGGTTCTTGCTAAGACTGCAGAATAATCTTTGAAGTTGGTCTCCCTGCTTGCCCTTCTCTCCCTGATGCATTCCCCAATGCTTTGAGTCACTTTGCCTACCCTAACCCCTGGCCTCCCCACTGGCTTCCACCACAGGCGCTGCACCAGCTCCTCCCTCAGCCTGGAAGTGTCTACAAAGTCAAGTCTTTGTACAAACATCATCTATTCAATTAGGCTCTGACTTACCGCACCCCTACCCTGCTCTCCTCTTTATAATTAACCTTCTAACACAGGGGTGTGGAACATGCAGCTATAAGGCCCACAAAATCATTTGGTCTGGCCCTGCCAAGGCATTAGGAGTGAATTAATTAAATGTTTGATCAAATGTAGCAGGCTAATTTTTAAGCTGATAATTTTGCATGACCTGCAAATGATGCTGTAAATCCACATGCCCCTTGGCAGAAAAAAGATTCCCCACGCCTGTTCTAACATATTAGTTATTTCAAATTTTATTTATTTATTATGTTTATTGTTCACTGTTTGTCTCCTCCCAGCAGAACGCAAACTGCAAGAGCAGGCTCTATGAGCTTTGTTCATGACCATTCTCAGGGCAGGCTGTAACCAGCACCTGATATCAGAGGGCCCTGAGTAAATAGGTGTCGAATGGATATATAAGTTCCACTCAAGATATTCACATAACAAAGGCATGGACATAACAAAGAAACGATCAAAGTACTAAAAATAGAGGGGGCTAAGCAATTGATTCTATTTTGGGGAATCCATGAAGGGACACTCATGACTGATAATGGACATCAGACCTAGGCTTCAAGGGCTGTGCTTGGAGGGGAAGAGGAATTTATCAGGAGGGATCTGGCATTTTCAGCAAGGCAGTGTGCTGGCATGGTGAGAGGTGGCTGATGGCTTGGGGAAGGCAACCAGCAGGCACCAGGGGATGGAGAGAGCAGAGCTGACAGAGCCAGGCTGACACGGCTGCTCACACACTGGCGGGCTAAGGCGTTATTTTGTGGTGATGCAAAACTGCCAGCAATTTTAAGAATTTATATTCCAGCCCTAGCTGGTCTGGCTCAGTGGGTAGAGGGTCGGCCTACAGACTGAAGGGTCCCTTGATTCCATCAAGGGCATGTACCTTTGTTGCAGGCTCAATCCCAGGTCCTGGTTGGGGCACATGTGGGAAGCAACCAATCGATGTCTCTCTCACATTGATGTTTCTCTATCTCTGTCTCTATCTCTCCCTTCCACTCTCTCTGGAAATCAATGGAAAAATATCTTCACGTGAGGATTAACAAAAAAAGAAAAAAAAGAATTAATGTTCTACAACCTACAACTGCATTTTAGAAAAGCAACTCCACTGGCAGCATGGAGGGTGGAATGGAGGAGAGACAGGAGTCAAGGATGTCTTCCTCCGAATGAGAGATGAATTAGGGTAGCAAGTGGGCTGTAATACTGAGAATTCATTTTAAATGTTTCGTATATGAAATATATGTGGCATACTTAAAGAAGAGAAAATCAGATTCCTTAAGGGCATTTGAACAACCATTTTTTAAAGCAAATTATTTTCTTTATTGTTTTATTTGTTGTTTCTCAGCTTACAAATAGCATGAGTCTGAATGCAATATAACAAATTAGCAATGTGTTATTTCATTCTAGATTTTATTATGCAAACTGGTATTATCTTTAATCACATCCTCCATATGCATAGAGGGCTACTAATTTATTTCAGAGAGAAATGATCTGTTAATGAAAAGACCACTTTGCATTTGCCCTGGTTCTTGGTGCTCCTATTTCTACACTCTACGCTGCAACCAGCATATCAAAATAGCCAGCTGGTGGGACATCTGAACCGGCACAAAACTTCAGGTTATGGCATCTCCTCTGAGGTCTCAGTCTGCTTTCTATTATGGGATTCAAGTGTGCTAACCAAATGGACTAACAGGAACGCTGGGGTCTGGAAAACAATGAAACCCCATTCCTAAGAAATTATTTCAACGGGGTGCCATCTGCTTTCCCAGAGCTCGCTTCTCTGTGTCTTAGGAGGAGAGAGAGGGAACATTTTGTCAGATTACTGGCCTTCCTCCTGCCCCTGGGGCATTTGGCATGGCCACACCAGGAGCAGGTGAGTTCTCCTCTCTTTCCACTCAGATAAGCTAATGGAGTGAAAAGAAGTAGGCACGACTCCCTCAGTCTCAGCCAGTCTATGTGCTCCCCATTTAACTGACCTGAACCATTAAATATTCTCACTAAGAGAACCACAGCTCTGCTTTCCTTCAGGGTTGAGTGGCTCCCAGGAGCTCCAAGCTCTTCTCCTCACCTCGGCACTGAAGGAGTGACTGAGCCCATCTCAGCACACGAGGGGTATGAGGACCACTGTGCATACTGAAACAGCGTTCATGTTCACCCTGATATCAAATTCTACTTCATGTGTGTGCTTGTGAAGGTTTGACAGTATGTGCCTTGGAGCAAGTCCTTCAGAGTCCTATCTTATGTTGAATACAAGAGAAATGGGAGATTTAATGAGCAGTTCCACTCTAAAGGCTGGTACATAACGACAGAAAATTGATCAAGTTCTGAAAACCTCCCTGTATTTTTATTTTAAAACCAATGCTATGCATCCAGTCTTTTCCAAATTTAGTTTTATTACGTTTCCTATTAGGAATTAGCATTATTTACTTTTTAAATTTTTATGTTGTTTTTCCTTTCTTAACCTTGAAATCCATAGCTTAATCCAAACCCTCTTCCTCCCACCTCTAGACCGTATTTTGTTTGCAGCCATTAACACTGTTAGACCATCACTCTGGCCATCTTGACCCAGTACTGGCCAGGGGAGGATGTTTCAACGGGATGGAAAATGAGGTATGGACCTCTTAGGTCTCCCAATCTTGAGACATAACTATACCATCTACGGCTTTGGTCAATGCAGAATGAGACCAATATGGTGCCTGGAGATGGAAATGCAGAGGGCCTCCACACACTGCTCTGGAACAGTGGGTCAAGAGCTAAGTGCAAATATGGAGCTAAGCTCCATATAAGTATAAGACACAAAATTCATACAACTTAACAATGTAGGCCTTAAACCCAGACCAAGGCCAAAGGGGCTGGCCCTAGCTCTAACTGGGCTATGGGAAAAATAATTTGAAAAACGAAAAAGCAAAATCAATTGTTTCTGGATTCCTAAAAATTAGGGAATAATTAGGGCCTTCCAGTATCTGTTTCCTTATAAAAGCATATGCTGGGAATCTTTTTTGTGGGTTTTTTTAAAAAACTGAAGCTTAAAAAATCTTTCATTTAAAAAATAGAATCAATGTGAGTTAAATAAAAACTGATACTAAGGTTATTGAAAATATAAGGTTGTACAAATTATCATTAAATTAATTGACGACCTCTAAATCCAGGGTAACTTGCCCTTATTTCATAACAACACAGTGGGAGAAATCAGCATTGTAATCACACACTTCACCCTTCCATGGCACCCAGATGATGAGTCGGCAATAGTGCACCCAAAAGCAGTATGTTAAAATACATTACCTCAAGCTTGTGAGCCCTTTCCCTGCTCAGGGGCTCCAAAGGAAAGCTCAGGTTATTTGCTTCTGCCAGAGACCGAAGATCAAAATAATACTTGGCATAAACACTGGAAGGAACATTGATGTTGAACTGGAGCAATTCAAGAAACTGTCGCTCTAGCTCATTCCTGCAAAGACAAAAATTGCACACACTTAGTTGCCATCCTAGGCTGTATGGCCTGCCAAGGCAAACTGCTGGACACAAGACTCCAGAAAAGTGCATCCTCAGGAAGAAAAGCCATGTAATTAATTACCTGGTTGGACACCAGAGTTGCAGTTTAACCACCAAATTGGTATTAGAAGCCAAATCCACTTAATTAGATGCCCACAAGGATAAGGCCTGATTAATTGGGATGAATACTTCAGGGTAATTTGTTTCACCGAGACCTAACACACATATACCAGGCTCTGGCTGCAAATCTCAGCATGCATCATCAGCTCAGACACGGGGCAGAAGAAGCAGTCAAAAGCTGTCAAGTGGAATCTAGTGAGCAACCAAGATCACAGCCTAGAGGAAAGGCCTCTCCTAGACACAGAGGATGCCCTCCCTCAACGCCCTTTATCCACCTCCTTTGACAAAAGAGTTCCTCAGGCAAAGGAGGGAGGAAAGTGAATCGAAGTCTAGCCTCTCTCAAAGAGAACTCACCAACTCCACAGAATGAAAGCCATAGTTCCCAAATCTGAGCACCCACCTAATCACCTGCAGACAAAGAGCTGCAGACAGATAGCTAGGCCCACCCTGGTCTCTGATTCAGCTGGTCTGGGGTGATCCTGAGAATGTGCACTTCTAACAATTTCTAACTGGATGCTGACCACACTGTGAGAATCACTCAACCATAAAGAGTGGTCAAGGAGCAAACACATGTTAAGATCCATATTTTGATGAAAACTAATTGAAAGATAGCCACAGTAAATTTTAAAACTTTTACTTTAAGAATGCCCACATGTTATCTTTTAAATTAGGTCTATTTCCCTGCAGTACCTATCTATGGGATGAAAAGACCTCCGTGGTCTGTCCTTGAGCACTGATCCTGGGCTGGGCACTCAGTTTCAGTGCTCCCCCCTCCCGCCAGAAGTACACTGTGCCCCTAAAGCACACTAACGGTGCTGTATTTCTGTCCTTCCTCACACTCTACTGTAAATGTTGCCTTAAGTCAGTTTCCCCTACTTGTCTCCTCAGAGTTAGAAACCATGACATCCAATTTCACATGCCCAGCCCCTCGCACAGTATCTGACAGAGTTGGTGCTCAATGATTACTGTTAGGGAAAGCAGCAACTAAGCTCAGCCGGGCAGGGGCATCAGGGAAGGCTTCACAGGGATCAGGAAAGTGAGAATTGAATTGAGTTTGGCAAGCATGGAGGGCTGGTGGAGAGAACAAGGGTTCGGGTTATTTCTAGTAGTGGGGACCACTCAAACCACCGCCAAGACCACAGGAGCACAGAAAATGTTGTCATCATCTCCTGTAAGTGGAGCTGAAGGCTGACAAGCCCAGTCCCCAGTGCTAGGCCTTGCCCCTGTTGGCCCAGCTTCTGCATCTCTCCTGAAACACCGAGTCCCCAGTTCTGGCCCCTGTACTCAGGCCATCAGAGACCAAGGAGGACTATGCCCCGTCTCATGATGCTGTGACAACAAGGGATAGGAATGCTGAGCAGATGAGCAGAAAGGCTGGGATGTGAGCAAGGTGAGTGGCTTTAGAGAAGGAAGCTACTGGGCAAGTCAAAATGAAGGAACTTCAGCAAGTTGCTATCAAAGGCCTGAATGTCTCAGATGGAAAGACCAAGAAGTCACACTTAGGCCCTGACCGGTTTGGCTCAGTGGATGGAGCGTCAGCCTGCAGACTGAAAGGTCCTGGGTTCAATTCCAGTCAAGGGCATGTACCTTGGTTGCGGGCACATCCCCAGTGGGAGGTGTGCGGGAGGTAGCTGATCCATGTTTCTCTCTCATCAATATTTCTAACTCTCTATCCCTCTCCCTTTCTCTCTGTAAAAAGATCAATAAAATATATTTAAAAAAAAAAAAGAAGTCACACTTAGGTCTTTTAATTGGAAAATAGCATAACTTGTATGCTGTTTCTTTATAGTCTAGTGAAAAAATTAATACACTCAGATAGTATATATTATGCTAAATTTTATACTTTTATATAATTTAAATTACTTTGCTTTATTTGGAATGATTTTTAGTTATTTTTATTTTATGTTTTTAGAGAGAGAGAAAGAGGGGGGGGCCTGACCAGTGTTGCTCAGTGGTTGAGCACTCACCTATGAACCAGGAGGTCACAGTTCAATTTGGAGGCAGCCGATCAATCATTCTCTCTCATCATTGATGTTTCTTCCTATCCCTCTTTCTTCCTCTCAGAAATCAATAAAAATATATTTAGGAGAAACCAAGACGGCAGCATAGGTAAACACTGGAACTTGCTGCCTCCCAC